GCCTGCTGGGGCCAAGCTGCCCAAACCCCAGGCAGCTCCCTGCATCAGCCCAGCCGGCATTGGTGGGTGTGGAGGATCCCCTCCCCACCGCTCCTGCTTTCTTACCATGTCCAGGAAAGTAGTAAAGAGACAGGTATTAAAAATGAACCACTGTGTAAATTGAACAAGAGCAAGGAAAAGGGATAAGAATATTATTACTGAAATAATATCATGTGGAAGCGTTTGGGTGATGCCATTGTTGCATATAAACCCCTCACTGTCACGCAGTGTCACTGGATAAGCATCTCCCATCCACAGCTGAGGCTGCTTTTTATCGCTCTGCAATGCTCCCGGAGTCACAGCACTGCCAGGCTGTGAAGAGACAAAAATACTAATCAATACTTTTGTCATTTTTAGGATTGATTATTCTAATTAATTCTGGGAACTGTTCAGCCCGGCTGTGAACAGATAGCTGCTGGTACATGGGGTGGCAGCCGGATTGGGATCTCGTTTATCCCATCATATAATTCAGGAGATGAAATCTAGCGGCTGCGAGTAAACCTTCATATTGATTCTGAAGTGCTTTGCTTGTTTATAGGAATAACACAACCAGTGCCCCAGAAGATGTTTTACGTTTTGCCGCTCTCCTGCGCCATCTTCAGTGGTGATAACGAGGTCAGCGGCTGAAACGACCCAAATACAGGAAGGGTAGAAGTGGCTGGGACCAAGCCTTGGGCTTGACGGCCCTATGTCGGGAAGTTACTTCTTTAGTTAACTGGGGCAAGCAACGTCTATTTTAGCTTCCACATTGAAATGAAAGAGCTGCTCACCATTTTTCATTTATTTTACCTGTGTTTAAATAGCCAGTTTCCTGGGAGCCCTTTGAAAAGGCACTCAAATCCGTGCTGCTGTTCTTTATCATCATCACACATGGAGCAAAGCCAGTTTCTGCGTCTCAGCATCCCCTAACCTCACCTGAAGAGATTTTGGCACCTGGGCCCAGGCTTTGCAGGGGACCACCCCCTCACCCCCATCCCCGCGGGCTGCCAGGTTCTGTGGATTCAGACCTTGCCCTGACCACACCAGCCAGGTCTCAGCTCCAGGACAGGCTGGGAGGGGACAGGCTGCCCCAAAGGCTGCGAGGAGCTGGAGGTAGAATCATAGAATCATTAAGGTTGGAAAAGACCTCTAAGATCATCGAGTCCAACCGTCAACCCAACACCCCCATGCCCACTAAACCATGTCCCTCAGCGCCTCATCCACACGTCTTTTAAATACTTCCAGGGATGGTGACTCA